ACAATTAGCACTATCTGTTGGCGAAGTCAGAAGAAAAAATGTAAACCATTTTTTAGAAAATGGCACTTAAACGTTTGTGAAAATGTTGAATTTTGACCTAATTTTCACTGAAAACTCTTTATTAAACATTATTTAAAGCGCATGTACTTTTAAATACAATAATGGGAACAAATCGCCGCTAATGTAAATATTATCGACGTAAGAGACAAGTCAAAAAATACATTTTTGTAATTTTTGAAAAATTGCCCGAAAATTGGCCAATGTGACGTTTACGTCATCTTCTAGAGTACATTTAGCACTATCCCTACTAAAAGTTTAAAGAAAAAATGAGCCTTTTGCGACAAAATCTTGTTTTTTTAATTGTTAATATTGCTCTCAATAGTGCGCGAAAACTTCTAAAGTTCTCTAAAAATGAGCATGACCGTCTTGAAAGAATCAACTATGAAGAACAAATTTCATTTAATGGAAAAATCTGTATCTTCAATTTTCTAGTTGTAGTATCGCCCCGAAAAAAATCAATATTTTTCAATTTTCAAAAATTCATATTTAACAGTGAAAATCGAACCTATGCCATCCTTTTAAGTGTGTGTTATTCTATTCTTTCAACAAATTTAAAGAAATAAATTGAAGCCATTTTAGAGAAAATTTTGAAAATGTCCCTAGGGCTTCATTTAAAGTACCCCTAAATTTTAAAGAAAGTTTGTCAAAATCGCAACGCTTCGAGACGAGCCTGATCGACCGGAGAATATCCATTTTTAAACAAGTCCTATGTATTGTTTAGGCGCTAGTGGTGTTCACAGACGGACAGATGTCTTGCCGACAATTGAAATTTCCGTACCAGTGACCCACAAAACCGGAATTTTCGCTAAACCACATGTTAGAAGATTGTTGTCTTAATTTAGCCACTAGATTTATGTACTTTTTTCTTATCCCTATCGTTATCCCAACGGCAATGGGCGATTTTCTGCCGAAAATTTGCCGTTTTCGCGCAGCATTACATAATTTTCTCTATACTACATATATTACTCCATATATATGTATATGAGAATATGAGAATGTAATATGCGTATATGAGAATGCAACTAGTGATCGCTACAGAATGGCGCAGACTTTCCCGTATTTGTTTTCTATTTCCATTTGCCTCAGCTATTCGGGCTTACCACATACTGTAGTCAGCAGCCATCTATCGCCGCCCAAAGTGGTTTTTTGTGTTTTTTTCTTTCTTTTTTTTTTGTTGAAATTTTCTTAATTTTTCAGCTTCTTAATAGTAAAACGAAAATATTATTTTAAGAACATTAAAGAACAATTAAACCGTCCTAAATGACAATTTTCTTTGGAAAATTTGGAGTCGTTTTTAAGAAATTGACATTTAAGCATTACTGTAAAATTGAAGTTTGAACATATTTTTAATGAAAACTATTGAGTTCTAGAAAAACTGCATGTGACGTAATTTTAAGCACTTTCAATCGCAAATGCAATAGTGTTTACAAATTACTGGAAATGTAGATATTAAGGTGTGCGAGATCTTTCAAAAAATTACATTGTGTAACATTGTACATTTACAAAAACATTTTCTTTTTGAGAAAAACACAGAATACACTAATACGAACTTCGTGTCATATTAAACAGTTCAATTAGCACTATCTGTTGGAAAAGTTTGAAGAAATAATTCGGAGCAGTTTTTGAGAAAATGACGTTTGAGCGTTTGTGAAAATGCGGAATTTTGTTCTCATTTTTGCGGATAATTGTTGAGTTTTCGGGAATCTTTATCTGGCATTATTTAAAGCACAGGTACTCATAAATACATTAATCCAAAGAAATTTCCGCTTGTATAAAAATTAACGATGCGAGGGACAAATAAATACATTTTATAATTTTCGAAAAAAACAACAACAAAATAATATGGTGTTTATGTCTTGTTATAGAGAACATTTAGTACTATCCCTAATAAATGTTTAAAGAAAAAATTTTGAACCTTTTTTCAAAAATTGTTTTTTGTATTTTTTTAATTGCACTATTGCATACAATATTGTGTGAAAACTATTAAAATTTTCAAAAAATGTACATAACTTTAATAAAAGAATTCACTATGAAGAACAAATTAAATTTGAAGGGAAAACCTTTATATTCAATTTTGTAGTTCTAGTTGACACCGAAAAAAATCCATACTTTTGAATTTTTCGAAAATTTAGAGTTAACCGTGAAAATCGTACCAATACCACGTTTATAAGTGTATTATACGTGCACATTTTCTTGAGCCCCGGAATACCTACCCCCACTCCTTTGACATCAGTTGAATTAAGAATAAATGATAGGAACGAACGTTGTAGACAAAATCTAATAACCAGAATGTTCGCAACCCTGTAATAGAAACTATTTTACATCCAAAAAAGTTGCAAATTTGTTGCAAAATTCCTTTCGTCAAAATAACTCATCTCCCCACTCCTCTTGCAACTAGCGAAACGAGGGCTCAAGAAAACTTGCGCGGATAATATATATATATATATATA